ATAGATAGATAGATATACTTTTGAATTTCAATCTGCATTTACATTGACAAGCTATAAAATTCCCTGGATCGGATATGATTCACATAGAAGACGTGAAGGATTATATATATATATATATTTTTTTTGTTTGAGTCGCTTGTCATTATAAGAAAGGTAAAAACATGAAGTAATAAATTTTCATATGCAAAAAAGTAGCACCTTTATGAATTTTGAGAGAAACCTTAATCATGCAATTATACGAACATCATAATACTTTTAGCAACAACCAATCATAGAATGGAGCATGCTGAAATATGAACAACTCTTACTATTTTATTAATATTGAATTCACATTTTGATAGTAGACCATAGAAAAATGAACTTCTTGTTTCAATTTTATGATAATTTTCTTGATTATTTTGATCTCTAACTAATAGATCAATATCTTAATATGAAAGAAAAAAAATAGGCAAACTCAATCGTAATATATAAAAACAGTTACTATTTAGAAACCAAAAATAAACAGATCTTTGCCACAAATAACATTTTTGATGTTTAGTTTTCATATAAAAATTTCTCTTCTACGACATGAATTTCATGCATAGAAACGATGCTGAATCGGTAAATCAATCTTGACTTTTTTTGTTTTTTTATTCAAAAAGTTCAAACGACATCTTACTGAATTTTTAATGAGATTTCTAATGTTTTTATAATAATATACAAAAAAATAATATTTATTTAAATTAAAAGAATTTTTAGGATCTTCTATGGAAATATTATAGTCGAAGAATCAAAGTATATTTTGCATGTGCATGAATATTCTTATTCTTTCTTTTTTTTTTGTCTCTAGAAATGTTCAGATATAATAATAATAATAATAATTTATTATTGCATGTTGATTTGTTTTTTTTAACATCTTATTTATTACATGTTAATATTATTTTCATAGGATGAATACATTGAAACAGCCTATTCATATGAAAAAGCTCGTTGGTTACATCTATTTCAAGTGAATAAATCTTTAAAATTAGTACGTGAAATGCAACAACGTGTAGAAGATACAAAAGGTATTGTTCTATCATCATTATCACAAGAATGTCAAGAATTAGCTGTTCGTTGTGATTGTACATCACTTTCATATATATTTGCATTACCTGAATGTTATACTGAAGCTCGTCGAGCTATAATTGCTCTGAAAACTTGGTTAATTGAAGATACAAAATATACATCATTTATTCAAACGTAAACATTCAGTAATTGAACGAAATAAAACATTCCTTTGTGTTTTTTTTAGGTCCTTGAAAGTACTTGATGAAAAATATATTGAAGCAAAAAAAATATTTGAATTGGGTAAAGCACATCTTAGTCAAGCTGAGCATCGAGTATTTCAAAAGAAACTAATCGATTTAACAAAAAAAAAAAAAAATTTTTTTTTTTTATTCAATAGGCTGATTCATTTCGAATACAATTAAATAAAGCTGAACAAGAAAATGAAATAAATGAAAAAAAACTTGAAGAACTTGAAGAACGTCTAAATACAAAAGAACGTGATTATTTATCTAAACGCTTAACATTCGAAGTATATGAAGATCAACTTAAAAAAATGCTTAAAGCTGCTGAAGATAAAAATGATGATATTGATAATCATTTATCAATTGAAAGATTTCAACAAGAAGTAAAACAATTTTTAAAAGAATTACCAAAATTAAAATCACAAATGGATGCTCTACAAGGACGTATTGAATTTTTAAAACAACGTAAACAAGAATTATTAACAATGCGTACTGAATATAGAAAACTTAATCATGATGTACAATTAGCATTAGAAGATAAAATTCTTAAAGAAAATGAATTTGATCGTGTGACAAATTGTCGTCAAGTTATACGAAATATATATAAATGTCGTGCAACTGATGATTTACCACAAAAAATTTTTTATGCTTTACCTGTTAAATCAAAAAATTCCGGTGAAGATTATAATGGTAAGTGTAAATCACAATATAACTTCATTATAAATCCTTAAATTTCAGTTTTGATACATAAACTGGGATAATTAATATTAACAACAGATTTTTCTAAGCCTAGAAGGAAGAGGAAGCACAGCTTCTCTCCTTCCATTTCACAATATGCATCGAGACGGTTATTAGATTGAAGAACGAAAATCATCCTTTCATCGATTCAAATAATGATAAATATAACTTTGAGATATGTTCTATCTAATGACGTAAAAAATTTTTTTACAAATTTTAAGTAGAGTAGAACAACTGAAATTTAAAAATTAGCCTAGAAACACTAATATCAATAAGAAAATCAATTTTTGATAAAAACTAAACCATCTAGTAGATACATCCAGTAGATATTCTGAACCTGTATATCGTCTAATATCGATTATCGAAGAAATCTGTTAATTTAAATGTATGGTTTCTGAGAAAAATAAAATAAAATTTTTCTATAAACTAATTTTCGGAATGATTAAACTCAGCAAAACGAACGTGTATCAATCCAAATCTGCTCAAACTATGTTAGAACATTCTATTCTATCTCGTATATCACAACAGTTAGCATAAACACTCCTGAACGATACAGCAGATTTTTCAAACACTACATCAGATGATATATGACACAAGACATTTTCTAATCAAGAAATTTTCTTTAAAAAAAATGTGGTCAAGAATTCCTTTTAGATGTATTTCATCATAAAAATTCTTTATTTTCTTAAAAATAATTTATCTAAGTTATATATAGCTATTTCTGAGTAAGAACAAAATCATTTTCGAGAAAGAAAGTTACATGTTCGTTTGTCATGCGAAAAATACATACTGTGCAACCTTAACTCGAGCATTAGATTGTAGCTAATATTTTTTGTTTTTATTATTAACAAAACTAAAGATAATTTTTATTTATTTATTTTTATCTATAAATTAATTTAATTAATGATAAAAATAATTTTTTTTTCTACCAGATGATCTTTCAAAAGCAATGCGTCTTACATCAAAATATATAGGACGTGATTGGAGTCGACTTTATTGGCAATTACCATTTTATCCGTTACGTGGTAAAGAAGAAGTATCAAAAGATATTAATTATATTGATGATAAATATCATCGTGGTGATGTCTATCGAGTTAATATCAATTTGAATTAATTTATTTTCTAGATATCTATTATTAATTTATTTTTCTTTTGATTTTTGTATTTAGGATCAAGCAACAGATGTATTAAATAAATGGCGACGTTTTCATACACGTGCAAAACTTGAAGATTTAATTCAAGCACTTCGATATATACATCGTTTTGATATTATACAAATAATTGATCGATGTATACTTAAACCAAAACGTTTATTACATAAAGAACAAGAAGAAATTGATCCACGAAAAAAAGAAATTGAAGATTTAAATCGAAAATTAAATCGTTTATTTGAAAAAATTCATACAGGAGCTATAAAAACACATGACACGTATGTTTATTCAAGTATTGGGCTTGACCCATTACAACCAGTCAGAAAACACCGACCTTTGGTCATGCACTAAATTGCACATGATGATATAAGTCACTAACTAAATTGGTATACACGTATAACACATATTTGCACCTTATGGACAAATTATTTGTTTTTGTTTCGTATACACACATTTACATATATACAAATATCAATATTTATCACTCATACACAAACACACACGCACATAAACGAGATCGAACTCGATATTCGTTTTTTTTTTACAATTCGCACCATATAATTATCCTTCTCTATTTAATTTATTTTATTTTATTTTTTCTAGTTCATGAAAGTACCTGATAAGAGCAGAACATGCTATGGCAGTTCTGCTCATGAAAAATCGCCTGATTCTCAAAAGACTTCATATAGTCAAAGAAAAAAAAAACTATAATTAAATCGTTACATTATGGGTCATGAGAAATCTGTATGATTTTCTCTTATTTTTGTTTTTATTTGTTTATTTTTACCTTGAATCAAGTGATTATTATTATTAATGCTTATTTAAATAATTTTCTTAGAAACTCATATTTTTCATTTTGTAAAATGATTTTTAATAAAAAAAACAAACAAAAAACAATTTATAGCCTCAGGATAAATTGACGTATTCGGTACAGAATTGATTGATAATATGGTAATGTAGTTGAATGTTTACTTTACAATCATTCTATATAAAACTAAACAATAGTAACAACAAATTGATTTGACAGTACCATTTTCGATGAACTATTTAAACCTATATGTATGTAAATTATGATTATCTATCACATAGATAAATAAATTTCATACAAGACTTGTTTTTCTAATCGAAGATAATACTGGTGTTAACATCAAAAAAATTAAATCTATGTTAATAAAGCCGCTTTTAAATATCATTATTGCGTACATGATAATCGATTACAAGAAAAAATGAGTTGATAAAAACAAGATTTCAATTTTTTGAAATGAATTTCTATATTTCTGGAGTTTTTAGTATTGTTTTACTCTTATAAACGACTCATTATTAACAATGGTATAAAGAAAATTTCAAATAATATTGTTAGAAGATAACTTGTAATCATGAATGATTTTTATTATTATTTAATTGATTATGAAACTTTTTTTTACTGATTGAAGAAAAGTATTTGTTTCAAATTTTCAATCAAAATTTTTGATTCTATTTCAAAATCATAATAAGACAAACTTGATAGTCGTAAAATAATGCAAAATACAATGAGAATATAACTAATATGAATAGTAATACAAGTTCTTTTAATTGTAAATCCTTTTATGCATCAAGATGTTTAGTTAGTAAAATTGAAATTCATATAAATACATAAAGATTTGAACATGTAGTAAAAAGATATTTAATGTTTCAATGGTACAACTACCATTTCCTATTCATTACCATCGTGAAAATATATATCTCAAATTACAAAAAAAAGGATATTTTTACTAATAAACATGCTACTACCACTTCAATGGAAAAGATTACTGGAAGATAAATGATTATTAAAGCCATGAAACGAGTATTCAATAATAATCGACGCAATTTTTTGTTTTGTATAAATGCCCAAATAGTATTTCCATAAAAAACAAGAATCACCAAGTAATCATGATAATACATGATAACTATCAAGGACACCTAAAAACATACACAGATCAAGAATAAAATATCTATTACAGATCAACATTGTTATATTCATCAAAATAATTCAAATGAATAATGTTTATGTTGTTGGGTATGTACTAGTAATATGAACATTGATTTGCTTTTCCTTCTCAACATGACGTCAAGATTATAAATCATTAGTATTAATTAGATCTAATGAAGAGAAAATAAATATAATGAACTTGTTCATGGGTGCTCATTAACTAAAAAGTGTCTAAAATTAACATAATCTTCAATAGAAAAAACAGAGTATACTAGAAATGTGCACCGCATCTAAAAAATTGGGCAATCGTCGCCAAAAAGCCTTTTGGATGAACAGCATGGGTGGCCCATAACTTTGGAGCGTACCAATCGAATAATCTCACCCTTTTCTGTCGACATTGTACATAAGTTCATCAATACGAAGATTCTTATGATCTGTTAAGAGTATCTCTTGTAGTAAAATTTGTGCAGCATTCTTTTCTTCTGAAAATATTTGAACAGAAAAATGATACATAAACCAAACTTCACTTTTACAAGAAACATAGTTCGATTGTTTACCAATTACTATCTATTTTAAATTGAAATAATAGTAGGAAAAAATCTTTTATGGTATATTATGCGATTCAGTGAATAGCATCTATTTTACACACAATGTTTTAGTAATCTTTTGATTTGGTCGACAGGAATATCCAATTTTCAAAACAGAATCTGTTATTAGAAAGCGTTCGAAAGACTGTTCTACTATGTACTAAGTGATATTTTTTATATGCATTTTTTTTATGAAAGAGTACACCATATTTTGAAAAAAGTGACATTTTGTTCATTGAGCAGCTCATTCTCAACGCAAACATTCTAAAGATTGAACCCTAAGATAAGATGTAGTTCATTTTTGCAGAATTCAGCAAAGAAATTAGATGTCTTCTTACTGAGAGTTCAAACAATGCTTTGTAAAAAACGAATCAGCTGAAAAAAGTTTCAATACTGTTAAAGGCTCTTGCTGCTGTAGCTGCTCAGATAGATAATTTTTGTTACACAAATATAGATTGTTATGAGACATAATTTTGAAAGAATATTTGATATGAAGTGCAATACTAACAGTGGAAGTACAGAAACACCTTTCGTAGGAAGTAAATGTCAGAGGTTCGAACAAGCTGACTTTTTGTAGGCAGACCTGCTTGTGTCCGTCATCTAAATTCTTCTACTTCGCCTACTTAGCTCTTAAGATCTGTCTAATTTTTTTCCATGGCATTATCATCATAATAATAGAATAGAATTAAGTATTAATCTTCATGGAAAATTCAACAAGTCACTTAAATAAATTTATATGATTACAATAAAAACCGTCCTATGTGAACATCTAAGAGAATACTCAAAAGTATTCACTAGAGAGGAGTGTTTTATTTTTACGTATGTACGAGAACATGTAAGAATAGGAGTAAAACAAAAGAAATGTTCATTGTAGAAAGATTGTTCTAGTTGGTAGAAGTCAAAATCCAAGAGTTCACAGTTCATTATAACGAGGTATTCCCATTATGCAGGCATTTACAATAGAAGATTTTCCTGTTGATTAAACATTTATGAATCAGACAGTGGTAGTGCGTAGAAAAATAAAATCTGGTCTTGGTTCAAGAACATTTTCAATGAATTTGACAGACAAAAATGTCGCTCACAGTATTAAAATCAAGAGAGAAACGATGTTTTATAACTGCAAAATCAGCAGCAGACAAAGAGCGCTCAACCTTAGTTGAATTGATCAGGATTAAAAGGGTGTGAATGTGAGTGTGGCATACATTTGCGTGTTGATCTTCTCTTCGTTAACATCCACAGTTACACATGCTATCCCGATATTTTGTCTCAATTTAGTACAAATCGTTATGTTATGTTGGAAGACTTTCATATTGATTTGGATAGAGATGGCGAGAAAGCAGACAATATTTTCTCAAATGGATCAACTCATGCTCTTTCGGACCACTCGTTCTCGACTCATGTATATCTATTTATTCAGAGTGCACTATCGACAACACTCTAGTCGTCGATGTCGATATAACTAATCAAACAATTGAAAGTGAAATATCGAGCAATCACAAACCCATACTCTACGTACTAGTTTACCATGATAGATATTTATGCGAAAGATCCAGAAGAACGTAAATTGTCTTCTCGCAAGTCTTGTCCGATACGTTTAATTTTTGGGAAAAAGAATGGAGCTTAAGAACCTATGAAGCTTAATGTGAACTGTTTATGTTTTTCTTATCTTTACTCGCCGCTAGGTGCACATAGCAATTTCCTCTCAATGGACTCGTCCGACCATTCCATCCGAGCTTGTGATGCTTCTTGTGCAAAGTTGATGACTATCTTTTAAAGCTAAAGGAAAAAAGCAATTCAATCCATCAGATACATTATATACCGATCTTGGTGACGATCACTACATAACAATTTAATGATGTTAGTCTTAAGACCAACGACCGTCGAACAGTATTTGGTTCTGATCAAGTTAATAACATCTCTTTTTATTCTTCCTATAATGTGCTCAAACTGATATTCTCATTTATTACTTTCTTAGGTTTTTTCCCCATTTTTATAGTAAATAGTATTTACTAGAGTACGTCCCCTAATATTTGGATAAGAGCTATTGAGTACCATTTTGTTCGTTAGAATAAACATGTTCGTTCCCTATATAGAAGTAACTACCAACTGGAGTTGATTCATATCAAAACGTCGTGGATATTTGTGGCAGAGTTTACGCCAACAGGACAAATGATATATTATTACCGTAACTACGTCAAATCAAACATGAATATAACGAGAAATATGTAGTGCATTGGTATTGACAAGATTCATTTGTATTGCGAATGCAAAACAGAACTTTTCGGTTTGACAAAATGCATTCTGTTTTACTTTTCGATTTTTTCATATATGATTTATATAGGCAACTAGAACAAATCCAACATGCCTATCGAGGACAATTGATGTCCTAAACCATGAAATCGAACTTTAAGTTAATCATATCAATGAGCATGATAGTACTGTAACTAGTAATTAATGTCAGTAACAATCAACTGAGATCAAGTTATAGTCTTTTTATTGACAGGAGATAAAAATTTTCGAAAAGTTCGAATAGATATCGACATTGATCATTGAATAAGAACAAAACTTTTCCATCTAATTATATGTAAGTATTGAAAGTCAGTTTTTCAAACAAACAAGAAATTTTATGATTGTAAGCCTATTTCGTATTGTATACATTTTAGACGATAAGATGCATAATTTAACATGAATCAAAATGGAATTAATTAATATAACATTTAAAACATCATCTGAGCATAATAATACTCTATCGTTGAGTATTGTAATGACGAAAACTAGAAATTCTTGCCAAGAATTCATTTACAGAACAAACTCATAATACAAGATAATTGAAATCTCGCATCTCATCATGGTTTATTCTCAATGATTGCGAAGCATGTGAAACATATCGCAATGATCCAAATATAAAAGAATGAAAAGATGACTAACAATTGATTGTTCTAAGTTCATTCAAACGATGATAAACTATAAGAATGAGAACTGTAATTCATTTTAAAATCTATAACAAATCTTAATCTATTTATCTACTATTGGTTGTTTATCTTATACTAGATTATCAGCTATACTTACAACTTCGTCTATTTTTCACGTGAAGATTCAATTTTTCTTCTATTATTTTAACACATTTGAATAAACGTGATCTTGAGTAATCAAAGTGATCTGTATTATATCATTTATACATATGACATCCAGACATCAATTACTTTTAATTGATTCAAACTTTCCTTCGATTAAGATTTCTGGTTTATTTTATTTGTGATGCTAAATCTACTAGCGTCATGAAATTGATGTCATCTAGCAATACAAAAGAAAAAAGAACAAAATATTAAATTACAACAGAAAAAAAAAGCCTAAAAAGAAAGTTCATTGAAATTTTATATTCTAGAAGTAATATGTTGCTCAATTATAATTAAGATAGTATAAGGAACAAAAAAAAAACTGCTGAAGAACATATAAACAAACATTTGTATTGAATGTGTAAATATTCATTGCTTTTTTCATGGATCGATTTTTCATTTCGTTCTCAAGAAACCTTATGAAGATTTTCTACCTTCTATAATAATCACAATATCTGAACATAAGAGTATTGACCAATCATCGTCGTAATGAAAACAGTTATGACTTGTCAATCTAATTAGTGAAAATCAAACTTCAATATTTCGATATGAAATTGTATGGTATCAGTTCTGTTTTTTTTTCTTCTTAACGGCACACTAGTAGACCCTTTTTTTTATGAGTATTAGACGATGGTCATGTTGATTTAACATCTGTTTATGTTTGCTTATTCTGATTTCTAAATTGTGCTTCAGTCACATCACCAACAGAGGCATACTGTTGCTGTCAACGCACTCGCCTCAAACAAAACAAATCGAACTCATTGAGAAAAAAAAGAACCAACTCATTTTTCTTCTTTTCTTCTTTTTTTTATCAGTCGATTCCTACCTTTTTCTCCTATAAATATATTATTCAAAAAAAAAGTCAAAGAAAAACATGACGTATAATTTAAAAAAAGATCATTTAAAAAATTTGGATACACAACAAATAAATGGAAAATCGATGATTCATATTACTCATGATGATTATGATGATGATCAAGATATTTATATATCAGAACGATCATCTATTGCATCATCAAGTGATATGAATCAAGTATCTAGTCCAACTGTTAAACGATTACCAACACCAACACCAACACCATCTTCACTATTATCATTCGCACAAAAACAACCTCATAATGTTCGATGTCATGGTAATGAATTACAAGAAAAGGGAATACCAATTACTACTCAATGTCAACTTCCACGTAAGCAAGAGAGAAAAAAGAAAAAAAGTCTGCATAAAGCTACACCTGGTCAAGGAACTTTAGCTCCATTATCTGAAACGAAACCATACGAAATCGCTGATAATTATTATCCATATTGGGGTTATTATCAAGTAAAAAATCCTGATTGGATTATACATCATCGTCAAACAATCGATGGTCAAATAATATCAAATGAATCACTTGATCCTTCACAATATGTTCATCAACCTGCATTAATAACATCATCTATACAACCAAAACAACAACCACGAAAATCTCGTCAACATGGTGCATCAATAAATCGATCCAATCAAGATAAACAACGTCATGATCGTAGTGAAAAAAATTCGCCAACATCATCACATTTAACATTTCATGACTGTTATGATAATAATTATCAACAACAACAACAACAACAACAACATATACTTTTTGAAAATTCTAATAATGACGAACATCGAGAACAAACAACAAAACGTACAATATCACAACAACGTCGTAAATTAAAAATTGAAAATGATTCAACTGATCATAATGTGCAATCACATACAAGTAAATTACCTCAAAATTCAAATAGTTTAATTATAACATCCAATTCATTGACAAATCGATCAAAAAATCGTACAAAAACGTCAGAAAAAAATGCTGATATTGAAGAAAACAGTAAACATCGTCATTCTAAACATTGTCATCATCATCATCATCAAAATCATATTCAATCACATAATTCTCCTTCAATTCCTTCTCAACAAAATAATCATCATCAAAGTCTTCATGTTCGACGTCGTCCACCATCCGGTTCAAATCATAGTCCTGATTTGCAAATTGTTGATACTTCAACAAAAAAATCCGAACGATCATCTTATTTTCAACAAACACGAGAATCATTTCATTTGCCAGCAACACCTGTTTATAATCAAAGTTCTTATTTACCACCTATTATACGTGATCATCATCATCATCCTCAAAAAACTAATACAAATCGTTTTCCAACTGAATATTATGGTACATTAGCTCGACAGACACATGATAAAGATTGGGAAGAACCAATAGAAATTACAAAAATCTATAAACCTGGTTCACAAACACGATTTTATGATCGTTATTTAAATAATGTTGTAGACAAGAGACTAGCAGTTTGATCATTGTATCTATCAAGGCATTTTATTCAATTTTAAATATATTTTTTCTAATAAAAAAAAAAGAGAACAGAACAAATGAGAAATTATATTCTTAAAAAGAATTACTTCAATAGCTAACCACAAAAAAGAAACTTGAATTCTACAAGATGTATTATTTCCGAAAATAAGAATCTAAATATTTCTCGACCAGAAAAAATCAAGATGTTTGCTTATAAATTTATAAATCAAGAAGGTTAAAAGCGTGCATTGTTCTTTACTGTTACAACCACTTGAATATAAAAAGTTGCTAAAAGCATAGCAACACTATTAAGATTTTTTACGAGTGATGTCAATCGACACAATGACATGCACTTAAAACTAAAAAAAAACGTATATTTCTGAATGGATTTTTCTCGTAAAACCAAAGATTAAATTTAAATGAACAAATGAAAATACAAAAAAATAATCTTTGTTTGTTTTATCATATCTGGTAAGAGTAGCTAAAAATAGCAGTTAATTTCGAGTCTATGGAGTTTTTCGTTTCAAACTAAATTTTGGAAAAAAATTACGCTCATTTTTTTTGAAACGACAGCGGTCTAGCGGACTAAGAAAAACGTCTCTTTATCACCGAACGCCCGAGGCACAGGGACATACTATACATAAATATATTTCAAACATCTCACCCATCCTAAGTCAACGACATCCTTATTTATTTAACGACGTACTTCGAATGACTCATTTCTACACGTGTATACACACGCTTCATACCCTCTATTGTCTCGCTAGTGCGTCTACTGGGCGATTAAATTTATTCGTTCACATATATATGTATATATCCGTTTCCCTTTTTTTGCATAGTGGGACTTGGGGAATATAAGAATTATATATACATATCCCTGCTTTTTATTCTGGTGATGGGACGGACTAGGGGAAGGAAGATTAGGGAACCTTTACAATTATGTATAAATGAATATATATATAATAGTAAATAGTTCAATAAGTTCCCTTAGTCGCCAATTTATGTTTGAAATCGAATACTTCTTTTGATCTAAATTGAGATTGAAATCAAATAGTTCATTGTATGTTAGTTTCCTTTGTTTTAAAATCTTAATAAAGAATAATGCAAAATTTCCTGAAATAGTGTTGCTTCATTTTTCATTGGCTATAGGATTCTTCCGAAAAATCAAGAACAACTATTTAGAATAGGCGTTGAAAACTCTTCTGAACATATGTTTAAAAAAATTCTATTATCTCCTATTTCTAGTATTCATCAAATTTTCGCACAGCGCTAAAATGTGATCTTTAAAAAACAGTGTGAAATGGTTGTTGCAAAAGTTTTTATAACTTGAGCATATTATGGCATTATTTCAGATAACATCGGAAAAAAAAATTAAGATAGAGCTCTAGCTATTTTTTAGGTCGATGTTCGTATTCATCTTTTCTGTAGATCAACAACATAAAGGCTGTGATGTACTTATATTGACAGCGTTTTTGGATCTCGCATAGTCGTCATTTTATATGTTTTCATAAAACGGTGCTATTACAAGTCTATAAAATTTATATAGATCGATTACTATTTTCATATCTATATTCGATGTACCTTTGTTTTTTTTTATCATGTTGACTGAAATAATCTTTTATTATTTCCTACTAGTCTCGTAAAGAATTAAACGATGTGACAAATGAACAAAACAGCAACAAAATACGATCAAACACGTATGAGATAGTTCAAAACCATTGAGAGATCAGTTTGGTTCTCTCATGCTCTGCATGCTGATATGCTCTTTCAAATAAAAAAAATTACATTTATACAATGAAGACCCACAGGGAATTTTGAATTGTCAAATGAGTTATTTTCGACTTTTGTTTGTTGAATATCTTTCGAAAATGTCATGGTATAGGGCTGAAAAAATTACCATAGCTTTCCCACTACAGTTCCAATGTATCCGGAAAATTTCATGCCATTTGAATTTACCGAGTTCAACATCGATTTTTATGGGGCGAGGCTTAAAGATGAATTGCGCATTACTACACTACAATCATTTCAATAAAACATTATGGCATTGTCTATTGCCGCCATCTATATACTGTTATTTTTTATTAGTTATAATCAAAGTCCATATTAGAGTTATGATGTCTTTAACTAATGGATGAGAAGGGAAAAAAACAAATAATAGATCGAGTGGCTAGGCGAAATAAACAAGGCACGACCACATGACAATAAGGAAATTTGATCTTAAAAGATCGTATCTCTAAACATATGTTTAATTTGCAATTTTGTTTTAACAATGTTCTACTCCAAGAATATCTTCATTCTAATAATTTTATTACACAATTTTTTCTTATCATTTGTTATTTTTATCCTTTCTTTTTATTTTTGATAGAATTTCTAAATGCCTTCAACATCAGCAAGAAAACCGAATAGACTTGCAGTAAATAATCAAGGATTTTGTAGTGTATTCGGTATAAAAGCAGCTATAATTATTGTTGGTTTTATTCTTTTGGTATCTGTTTTATCATTATTTTATTTATCAACTTGGACAATTATAACAAAACACAAGTATGCATTACTTGCTTCAGCATATCTATATGCAATGTCAACTTATTTATTATTGATATCTGCATTAATAACATGTATAGCAATAATTGCTCTTTTTTTTACTGCATGGATTGAACATGAAAAAGGATTAAAATTAGTAAGAAAAGAAAAAAACAAACTAATTCATATTAAAATTTTTATTATTAAAATAATAATTGTTTAGACACTTTTAATATTAATATTAACATTTATTTTTGAAATAACTGCTGGTCTTTTCGCTTTTGGTTATACAGTTAATGTTAGTTGAATTAAGTTAAAATTCAAAGAAATATTTAATTTTTGTTTCTTTTTAGCTTGATGAACGTTTATCAAAAAATTTACTTGAAACTATTCAACATAAATATCATTATGTTAAAGGAAAAACAAGAACATTTGATCAAATGCAAAGACGTGTATGTTAATTTATTTTGTACTTTTCATGATAAATCATTTAATTTTGTCATTTTCTTTTAGTTTCGATGTTGTGGTTCAAAATCATTTAAAGTAAATTAAAGAAAATATTTGTTTATTATTGCAATATATAATTTATTATTATTATTATTTAAATAAAAGGATTGGCAATTAAATTCAAATTTTAATCTATCAATGTCTTCAGCCGTACCTGATAGTTGTTGTAAATCATATGAACCAACATGTGCACAAAAACCATATGGAAAACATCCATCAAATATATTTTATGAGGTATTCAAATGTTTTATTACATTTGAAGAAATTATTTAAATCTGAAAGAGAATGAAACTTTGTTAATATTGAATATATTTTTTTTTAATTATGACATATATGAATGACAAATCTAGAAGAGTTTGAATCTATAGTCTCCTTTAACTGACGAGGGAGTCCTCCAATTGAGCTACGAATATTCTGAAAAGAGTTCGACCTTTTAACTTATTGCTCCCGAGATATTGTACTTTTACGATAGTTTTTCAATGAATACCGTGATTCCCCTTAGAAAAACTGATTTTTGAATTTTTACTTGAAACTTTACACAGAGTCAAACCTTGACAAGAATAGTTTCTTGCAAATATTTCAACTCTTGTTGCTGTTTCTATTCTAAGATTTTTTACTTCGATCATATATACCGGCAGATTCTATGTTTTATTTCCGCAATTGAAGGAAACATAAAACTTTTACAATAAATTACTATTGTTAAGATATATTTCTGTAAAAAGTTTTAATTCGAAATTCGAAAAGCAGTTTTCCTGGTCCTGCACGGGTATGACTTTTCGTACCTGGATCGAAGCTAATCGACATCCAGTAGACATTTTATAGTCATAGTACAGTTTTCAAACTTTTCCTTTATATGAAGAAGTATACTGTTTGATTTCTTCCATCAGCAGTAACAAAAAGAAAATGACAAGCGATTCATGATTCACTTGTTGCCTTTCTAAGTCTAAAAAACAATTCATTTCGCTAAGTATACGTTTGTTTGTTGCTGATGACACTGAGATCGAACGCAGTGTTGATGCCAAACGTTATAATTGTGAATACATACATGAGTGCTTTAGTTCATTTATTTCATCATGTATTCAATTACTTCATCATATGGTTTCTTCATCATTTGTAGACAAATTTTCATTAAAAAACGAATTCTTTTAGTAAAACAATATTGTTTTCCAATTCTGTAATTCGTTTTCAAGTATAATAAATTGCTTGATCATGATCAAACTAATTTTCATTCCTACACTTTTTATGTATATATAGCAGTTTGAAAAAGCAAAACTGTTTTAAAATGTCGAGGCTCCGTCAAGTGTCGAATCAAGACTGGGTATAATCTCAAATTTCAACTCTATCCGGCAATTTTTTTCATACCTAGTACCCATCCCGATTGCAGAACACTACTTCTGACGGAAACTACAGCATTCATTTAAAAAATACCGTAAAAGTCCGGTATTTTCGTAGCAATAAGTCCAGAACTCGAACTCGTTTCAAAGTATTCATTATTCATTAGATTCCACAATATGTATGTAGTCCCGACTAAAAAGTGATTTATCAGTTGGGGGGCTTCTCTCGTGATATCTAACTTAAAATAGTTATTATTCGAAGTTCTGAGTAGCAAATCTTTTTTCTTCCCTTATGTTGAGTTTGCACAAACTGTTTTAGAATTTTCATAACAATTGGGACCTATTCAAAGTCGCAGAGCTGATTGAGTCCAAATCACTCATTCAATACGGAAATCAGTTTATGTGCGTCTTCTCAAAGCCATCTTTTAATGAGATCACATCATAGTATTTGCATTTTAACATGTTTAAAATACAATAAGACATTAATTCAAATATTAATAAATATTTGTTTTTTACTTGTAAATAACTTTAAGTTTAGATTTTTTCTTTAATAGAATTTGATGTTTTTTTTTATCGCGAAAAACAATATGTCAAAAGAAAACAGAAAAAAAAGATTAATATCAAGACCTTGATTAAAGATAAAAAAAATTTATTGAATACAAAAGGCAAGAGAATAGCATCATTCATAGTTTAGAGGACATTAAAAATTAATTAATGAAATGTCCAATCAACAAATAAAGATAATCATTCATTCTTTGTTTGTCTCGATTTTTTCTTTCGATTCTTTTTACGTTTCACCATTCTTTCCTTTCTGTATTTTTACATTCATTGTATCATCTTATTTAATGTAGGACCATTCTTATTTTGTTTATATACGTAAAAGCCACGGACAATATGCTGTGTCATGTAATACGTATTGTTAACGTTCGTAATAACAATAAATGCAAACAAAAACAAAATAACTTGACTCAGTTCGACCCTGCAAAGGTGTCATACAAAGTCTGATAGACAAGTTTATTCTTTAATAATCCATATTGTATAATAATCGCTATTGATGTTTGATATAAATTAATTTACATTTATTTTTCGTATTAAATTATTGCAATACATATATAAAAATTTTTCTTTTTTGAATAGGGTTGTTCATTGGCACTCTATCGTTTTTATCATCCACATTTAATCACAGTCGGTTGTGTGACACTCGGTGTTGCTTTCCTACAGGTAAGATTATATTTAACAAACGAAATGATTGTATATTTATTTGTGTTTGTTTTTCTTTTTCGTTCATCAAAAAGATATTCACAATTATTTTACTTGTTTGGTTAATAAAGCATATCGAAAAAATAACAGCATTTAATCGTCCAGCTGTACCTCCGGCGAAAATTCGTCGTTTATCGAATGAAATCACTTATTATCCTATACAATCATCGCAATCTGTCAAATAGAATTTACATCTAAAATAATCAACGCATGAAATCTCACGTCCATTTAGTTCAGATATATCACATTCATTTTTTCTTTTTTGTTTTTTAAATGTACTTATGACAAATAATAGTTTTAGTCAATTTTTAGCTTTTGCATGAAATGATATTTACAAAAAAAAATTTTTTTTTTAGATTTGTTGTAACATAAAGAGTGACTTTCTTTGTATATAAAATCAACAATCGTTGTTGTCATGTTTATTGACGACGAAGTAGCCTTACGAGAATGGCTCGTTGCAACACTCGAACCATTGTATGTTTTTTTACTAGTATAGTTTTTCGTTTGATATCAATTTTCTTGTTTTTTTTTTAAGATGCGATGCTGAACCAATCGCTTTAGCTCGTTATGTTCTTGCTCTTGTTGCTAAAGATAAACCATTAGATAAATTACGTGAAAATTGTATTGATCGACTTGAAGTATTTCTTGATCGAGGTTCGTAGATTTAAAAAAAAATTATTTCTAAATAAAAAAAAAAAAAACTTCGTTTTTTAGCAACGAAAGATTTTGTTGATCAATTATTTGATGTTATTCGAAATGGACGTTATATTCCAGAAGCAAAAAAAGTTTGTTTAATAAATTATTTTTCATATCATATTGATTAATATATTTATTTATTTTTTTTTGTCAAATAGGAAAATGTTCAACCAAAAGCAAGCGAAATAAATGAGGATAAATCAGGTGAATCATCTGAAATAGTTGAACAACAAATTTCAACATCACCAACAAAACAAGAAAATGAACAACAACAACAACAACAAATTCCATCAACTTCTCAAATAATATCATCATCTGAACATTCAATAAGTACACAACAACAACAATCATCTGGAGCAATAATTCAACCTGTTAAAAGACGTTATTCATATCGTTCATCATCAAATCGTCATCATTCACCAAATCCACGTCGACATGTGAATACAAGTAGTGGTGGTGCTACTCGTCATCAAACAGCATCACATTATCGCCTAACAACAAATTCAAATAATCAACGTTCACATCGTTCATCATCACGTTCACGTTCTATATCACCACCAGCTAAACGTACACAACGTTCATATTCACATTCATCAACCGGTTCATCATCATCACGTTCATCACCATCACGTCAAGCAAATATAATACATCCACCATCAACAACAAATACAAATTTTTTATACAAAAAAATTCCATGTATTGATTTTTTTGAAAATAAAGGTTATTGTGCTCTCGGAGATTCATGTCCATATGATCATGGCACAAATGCTGTTGTTTTCGAACAGCAACAACAACAACAACAACAGCAACAACAACAGCAACAACAACAACAACAACACCAACAACAACAACAACAACACCAACAACCACAACAAGCGTATTATCCACCTTATCAACAATATGGAATGCCACCACCTCATCTTCATCCTCATTATCATGAATATAATCCAGAAGCACCTGATTTAAAACATGGACCACATCCAACTCCACCAATGTTTATGAGACATCCAATGCATCATCATCCACGTATGCAAGTACCATCATTACCACCTGGACAACCACAAGCATCTCAACAACAAATAATGATGAATCCACAACGTACACTTGTTACTGTTGTTACTAATGCTGAACCATTACCACTTGAACAAAAAATACGACAAAATGATTCAAGTAATATTTTTTTAATTCATTATAAATAAATTTTTATTGTATTTTTTTTTTCAGTGGGAATGTCATCCAGTGGTCCTGTTCCTCCTGTGATGCATACTAAACGACATGTTACTACTGGACTGTATCAAAATGATCGACGGATACAACAACATGAACATCCATCGAATAATGATTCAAATATTAATACTACTACTACTACTAATAATAATAATAATAATGGTAGTGGTGGTCATTCTAATACAAATAATGGATATATTAATCGAGGATGGAAACGTCCATGTATGTTATCTTATTTTTAGTTTAATAAATATTCTATTTTTTTTTTCTACTTTAAAAAATCAAGGGCAAAAACCTGATGGATCTGGATCAGCACCAGCAACACTTGAAATACGTAAAATTCCCGTTGAATTTAATACTATTTCAAAATTAAATGAACATTTTAGTAAATTTGGTACTGTTACAAACGTTCAAGTATATTTAATATTTTTTTTGTTGATATTTTTTTTTCATATAAAAAAATTCTTTATTTTGTTTTTATTAGATTGCTTATGATGGGTCACCTGATTCAGCTCTTGTTGCATATGCAACATTACATGAAGCTGAAACAGCATATAAAAATCCTCAACCATTGTTTAATAATCGTTTTATTAAAATCTTTTGGCATAACAGTAATAAAGTAAGTTTTATTCTTAAAAAACAAAACACATAATATACAAAAACTCTAATTTTCAAAACTAATCCAAAGGATTTAATGAGCAAGTAGAGTGTATTCGAGTGCATGGTTGGATGAATCGGGTCAAGATATTTTTCCCCATTCTTTTGCGTTTTTTGTTTATTTTTTATAAATAGCTTTAACAACAAGCTTTTCATGACACGATATCTTGTTCTTAGTTTTTATGCATAAAAACAAAATAAGAACAGTCCAATATTAGATAACATAACACAATCACTATAACCATATCAATAAAGTAAAGAGGCAATAAAATCAACTCTTCTTTTTCATACAGTCCCACAAGACAGTAACTGTGCTTTTGCACAGATTATAACTTCTACGATCATCTGTCTTCACTAGGCTTTAATAGTATTCTCTTCTTCCTGCATGTATATCAAGAGGTAGCAAGCGAATTTTTGACTCCGGAAATACTCGAGATTCGAAGGAATCTCTACACTCAAAGTCTTTTAGAACAACATGAAGTCAAAAAGAATCTCGTAAAATCCTAGAACTATTATTGTTCGATGGCACTGCGAATTCTACTAAAGCTCTAATGTTACAAATCATCAGATGTTATGAGATTCCAAAGTTCTTCATGGAATCAATCGCACGATTCCATAAGCTTTAACATCATTCTATTTAACTGTATAACCCAAAAATCTTATGCAGTTTGATGATTCTTCATGAAATCCTCTGTTGTTCTTGACATATATAGCCGATTTGAATTTTTTTTGAAAAAAAATACAATTTTTGAATTTTTTCAAAAAAAAAGCCGTCACCAAAGGGTTAAATTAATGCCTGATTGCACTTGAAATATATTAAAATATAAATATTAGCTTGTGCAAAATTTGAATGATATGATCTCATTAAAAGACGACTGTGAGAAAACATACATCCAACTGGTGCTCATGTCGCATGAATACACATGTGTATTTTAGCAATTTTATTAAGAGACTCATATGAATTTTGTCAGTGTTGAATTATGAATTGTTGCTTTTTTGATTTAATGACTCGAGTCAAGTCTTAGCCATGACTAGATCCCGTCAGGTTTAAAATCTTCAGCTCTTCATCTACCCAATAGGCTTTAGCCATGACTCGAACTCGCTCAGTTCTGTTCGAGGGTATGATGGCGAAATTTCTTTTATATTATATTTTATATTTCATAAAAATATATTTCAATTCAGGCACAATCTTCTGGTAACAATAACAATAATTCAAATCAACCAACACAACAACAACAGCAGCAACAACAGAAAACATCATCAACAGATGTCTCATCAACAAAAAAACCATCATCAAATGCCCCTAATCCAATGAAACTTCATTGGATGAAAATGCAACAATTATCAGGAAATAAATCTGAACAAAGTACAATATCAACAAATAAATCTGAAGAAACAAAAACTGTAAAATTTTTTTTTTTGTATTATTTTTATTAATAATTTTCTTCGGTACAATTTTTAGACTTCTCAATCAACTTCAACTTCAACTCCAACTCCAACAACAATTACGAATCCACCATCATCAAATAAATCAACTGTATTACCATCATCAAAAAAACCCAGTATACTATCATCAACAATAACAAAAAAAGATGCAGCAAAAAAAGCAGCCATGGAAATTCATCGTAAAAAACAAGGTTTATTAGAAGAACAAATTCAACAACAAAAATTACTTTTAAAAAAACTTGAAACAGCTGAAACAAATGCTGATAAAGAATCAATACGTTCTTTAATGAAACAATTCGATACAACAATTGTTATGCTTAAAGATTCGCTTCGTTTAACACCACCAATTAAAACATCATCAACAACAGTACCCACCAAACCACCACCAACAACAACGGCAACTAAAATTAGTCAACAAGATGTTCTTAAACAACGTGCACAAACTTTAGAAAAACAACTTGAAACTCTTAGAGCTAAAACATCAGCAGATATGGTAAATTTTTTTTAATAATCTTAATTATTATCATAAATAAATTATTTTCTTTCAGCGTCGTGCAATGAGTAATACATTAGGTCAATCATCATTAAATTTTACTAATGTTCTCAATGAAAATGATCCTACAATAAAATCATTAGCAAATAATACATTGAAATTTGTCGAACAAAGACAACAACAAATTCTTATTAAAAATATAAAAGATTTACCAAGAAATGAATTAGAAGAATTTATTAAGGTTTATATTGATTAATAATTTAGAGTGAAAGAAAAAAAGAACTTATTTTCTTTTATTTTCTATAGAAATCTGGAGCTACGAAAATTCAGTCGAATGATGCTGATAATTCATTACTTGTTATATATCCTTCAAAATCTGACGTTGATAAAGTAAGAATATAAAATTCTACGAAACACGATCTAAAAGAGGTGTTGAAGGATACAGGTAGAAATTTTGACCTGATCCTCAGGGTGTACCCAGGAATTTTCCAAGGGGGATACACACCAGCGATAAAATAATTTTTTGTTTTCGGAAAAGTTTTTTATCTGTACTCTCTCCAAATGCTTTTTGGTCAAAGATGATGCACACACACCCCTTGTACTCCTCTAGTTAGGTCCCTGCTCAACTCTCTCTCTAGGCGTGATAGATGCTGTTGATAAACGATC